CATAGAGGAGAAAATGTGATGAGTATTAAGTATAGAAAATGAAGATTACAAGTGATGTTTTGTCACTAAATAATCCTGCAGAGTGGAATGCAGTGCAGTGCAGCATAGGAAGAAAAGTGAGTTGTCACTAGCATTATTTTCTTTTTTCAGCAAGCACATTGCTGTGCAAACATGTGCCAGAAGGATAGTCAGTAGCCTTAGAGTTTTTGTTTTTTTGTCTTTTCTTTTTTGGTGCCATTATTGAACCCAGGGCCTCGCACATGCCAGGCAAGTGCTCTACCACTAAGCTACATCCTAGCCCAGACTTAGAGTTTCAAGGAGCCCATGAGCATGGCTTTGTTATATTTGTATTCCCAATTCCTGAAGGGTGTAAGAGATACAGCTTCTTTGGGAAAGTGCACATGGTTTTCCCCACTATCAGAGCCTTACTTGTTAAGAACAAAAAGTGAATAGCAATACAGACATGGCCACGGATTGCATGCCTTAAGAAGCATGCCTCCCTCTCCTAGGGAGCAGTCACCAGCTCCCCCAGTTCTGCTCAGCCTTCACACATTAGCCCAACACTGCAGCCATGCATATAGACTGCAAGTAGAGAATGATGTTCCAAGTCTCATAAAAACTCTCAAACCCTATTCTTATATATGCCTAAAGGCCAACTGCCTAATCCCTCTCATAGTCCATTAATGAAGCTGACAAGTTTCTTATCATAAGCTCTGCCCAGCAGCAAGACAGGCACCTCATGAGAGAGTGAGCTCCCCATTCTGCAAACAGCACCCAAAGCTGGGCTCTGCCAGTTTGCATCAGTCCATCTTCCTTTCATTACCTGCACAGAGATGATGCATCAGAACCCAAAGGAATAAAGAGTTAAGGGTCAGTGTTTCAATGGGTCAGATTTTCAGTATATTGACTCACATCACAGCACAGAAGTTTGGTTGCTAGCCTTATTTCTTTCAGAGCTTACAGAGCAAGTCAATGTCATTGCCACATGTGTGCCAACTGCTAGCTGAGGTCCACACCTCCGAGGGCAAAGAGCAAGAGGGCTGCAAGTTCCTGACCTCTGCCCAGTCTCAGCCCCACATGGTACACTCCATTCTGCCCTCTACGTGTGATCCAGTCTCATCTGTAGCACAATGTGCATTGTACATTTGGGGACCAGTAGCAATGTACTTAAGTACAATGAAAAAATATTCTTTAAAATGATCCGTCCAAACTAATTCATTCAAAAAGCAAGACAGTTATCCCAGGTTGTCCCTAATGTAGTATTTTACATTTATTTGTCATACCTTTAGGTCACTCCTGACGTATCCACCTAGATATGACTCCTGTCCTTAGAGTAGTAGGATGCAGCTCCATTAACATCAGTGGAATGGAACTGGCTTGCTATTTCTAGCCACTTCATTCCACTTTAGGATCATTACCTTTTTAATACCATTTTATGGGTCATTAGTTTTATGTGTGATTCTCCACCTCCCACCCTGTCTTATTTTTTTCCTCACTATCAGAGCCTTACTTGTTAAGAACAAAAAGTAAATAACAATGCAGACATGGTCACAATTTCATGAATGTACAGCCTCACATTGGTACCTGGATCATTGTCTTCTGAGTACGAGTGGGCTTATGGTTCCTAAAAATGAGCAGGGCAGGCTTCTTACCATGGAGGCACTTAGATATAAGACTGGCCAGAGCTGTGACAGGCACTTGCTTTCTGTTTTTTGTATATTTTGAACAATTACTACTGCCTGAAGTATACCAGAGATGGATGTCTGGGAAGGACCCCATTGGCAGTTCAGAAGGTAGCCAATGTATGAAAACAACCCTGAGCCACAACAGACATAGAGGGAACGAAGTGCATTCTGGGCCTCCTGGTCCTAGTGTTCACAGGACCTGCAGACCTCCTGTCCTGAACTTGTCTGGAATTCTCAGTTGACACCTAGTTGCATGATCTCGTGATAGCCGTTTGTGATTGACTTACACTGTTATTCAATAATTAACTTTTCATGTTTGTACCTCTTTTACAGAGCTAACCTGTAGGACTCTTGAGCACAGGGCTGAGTTTTACACTTGTCCGTCCCTCACAGTCTTAGTACATGAGGAAGAAGCAATGCCCTGGGATTGGGATCCCAGCTTTCTCCCTATGATTCTCCATAACTTTGGATAAATTCCTTCACCTTCCTGCCTCTCAGGGGTTTTGTTATTTCGGTTCATTTTTTCTAGTTCTTTTCCTTTTTCTTTTTTCTTTCTTTTTTTTTGTTATTATTGTGAATGGGATTGTTTTCTTAATTTTTTTCAGATAATTCACTGTTAGTACATAGAAAAGCTGCTGATATTTTATGTTGATTTTGTATCCTGCAACTTAGCTGAATTTGTTTATTAGTTCTGACAGTTTTTTGGTGGAATCTTCTGGGTTCTTTATATGTAAGATCATGTCAGCTTTGGACAGGAATAATTTCTACCTTTCTTGCCTCCTATTTATGTATTTTGCCTACTTGCTTTAGCTAGGATTTCCTTTATCCTTGTCTCATTCCAAACCAATTTGTTATCCCTGACCTTTTTGTACCTATGTGATGATCATTTCAAACTCAGTACATCTCCTAAGTCCAGGGGTCAGTGATTTGAGGAGTCATTGATTTGCACTGTTGAGACTTGGCTCTGTGGAATCCTCAGTCTGACCCACATATTAAACCACAGCTCTTCCCTGCATAGAGAAGGTTTCTCCTGTTCCTTGTAATTATGTGGCCAGTGGTGACTCCCAGTAATGCTTCTTGATCCAAAGATCCCCATGGGGGCTGGAGGTGTGGCTCAAGTGGTAGAGTGCCTGATTTCCAAAGATCCCCATGGTTGTCCCTGGTTTCTTTATTAATTTTCTTTAAAAGAAGCCATACATAGTAGGGGATAGTGGTAAGGCTTACTGAGACCAATAACATCAAAATAAACAAGAAATGGTGATCAGAATGGGCATGTGAAAAGGACTGGAGGAACATTATAAATAGCATTGAGATCAGTTTCCCATATAGTGAGTACATTTGACAAAGCCCAAGGTGTTTATCCACTCACTCAGCAACTGGCAAATTGCCTAGGAGTGTCATGGAGATGCTTACTTATGGAGATAAGTAACCTTGATTCTGCAGTTTCACTCTTTATAGTAGAGCCATGTTGCAGTGAAAAAATAGGTCATGTGGCCTCTTATCTCCTTTAATACCCATGTATACACACTTTCTTGCTTTATCACATCCTTTTAAAGGTTCCTGGGAGAAACATACATAAAGCGGATATAGTAAGTACTGCATTTGCTGAATCTATTGCCGTGTTAGTTTAGAAGGACACAGAAGTGTAAATCAGATGTGCTGCTTTTTAATAGTGGCACTATAGGATGGGACAAATAAGGACTCTTAACCTGTCTTTGATTGGTTTGGTTAGTTGGTGTATATAATGCTTTGCTTAGAAGAAACTTAAGAGAGCAATCACCCACCAGACTGTGTGGTCACCTTCTGTACATGATGGTTGTAGTTAGAGGCACTGTGAAATTCGTGACATATTAGTAACATACAGGCTTCCACCAGATACTGACTGTGTTAGAGACCCTGGGTTAGATTAGATGCAGGGTTACAAAGAGAAATGAAGCCACCCCAATCTGAAGGTGCTTGCTTCTATGGTAGAAACAGATACAATTAAGTAAAATTAAAGAGAGAAAGCAATGATGGACTGTGTAGAATTCTAATGGGGGGGTCTTGCAGACATGGATTTTTATTTGTTTTGTTTTGGGTTTTTTGTTTGTTTTTGTTTTAGTGGTACTGGTGTTTGAACTCAGGCTTTTGCTTATTAGGCAGGTACTCTACTGCTTGAGCTATCCCTGCAGCCCTTTTTACTCTGGTTATTTTGGAGCTAGGTCTCACTTTTTGCCCAGGCAGTGATCCTCCTATTTACACTTCCCACCATCACTGGGATGACAGGCACGCACTATCAACCCAACTTTTATCCACTGAGATGATCTCACAAATCGTTTTGCCTTAGAGCCACAATACTCCTAAGTAGCCAGGATTACAGGCATGAGCCACTAGCACCCAGATGCAATTGTTTTGTTTTTTAACCAAATACCTCTGGCCTTTTTATCTGACAGAAAATTCTTTTTAATTTGGAGCTTTATTTAAGCACTTCAAAAATATTAACATTTAAAATCCTGTTCAGTTATATGTCTAAATAATCTGCCTTGCTTGAAAGAATTCAATGATACAAGCCAGTGCTCCCTGGAAAATGCAGGTTGTTTCTTTCCTCTGGCTACAGGTACTGAGAGCATGCTACCACTCATTCTGTCTAATAGAAATGGAAGGGCTCCCAGAGAAGGTGATGTCTGAGCTGAGTCTTGAACAATAGATTCAGGTCCTTAAAAGAACTTTACTCTGTGTGCTGCAGTAAGTTCAATGCATGCAGAAGTCACCTACAGAGCTTACCATGTTATCTTCCTCTGCACTCATTTCCCCAGCAGAAATTTTGGGTCACCACCACTGTAGCTTCCACAAGGTCCCTATGATTACTGTTTTCATTTATTCTATCTATGCACATGATTTGTATACCTGCCTCCCCTTCCTGTGGGATCAGCAGTGCTTGCAAGAACCTAGAGGATGGTGGCTCATGCCTGTAATCCCAACACCAGAGGCAGACATAGGAAGATTACAGTCAACTGGCCTGGCAAAAGCATGAGATCCTATCTGGAAAAAAACAAACTAAAAGCAAAAGGATTGGGGGCATGGTTCAAGATATAGAGTGCTTTCCTAGCAAGTGGGAGGAATTCAAGCCCCAGCACTGACAAAAAGAATGTAGAGGATGTGTAGTTTTATATACATGGTAAGCAACCTACCCTGAACACCAGGAAGTTTAATCCATTTCCATCAGATCAAAATGAACTCAGGCAACAAATTTTTAATTGTCTAAGTCATTGTGTGTGTGCACGTGTGTTTGCAAGCTGTGCATAAGTAGCACATTTTCAATCTGTGTAAGATATAATGGATAAGCAGCAAATGACAGTAGGCTTAGCCCCTGAAGATTTAGTAGGAAAGAAGACAGCTGCATGACAGAGCCGCTGCTAATAATTAGGGAAGAAATGAATCACCCGTGTCCTATGCTACTCAGCACCCTCAACCATTCAAATGACAGCCAGTTTGCTAGCTCTGTAACCCTAATCTTTGTGAGCCAGGACTTGATTTCTTGTTGAGAACGTTGCCTTTGATTATGATCATGTCTGCTATCATGACATATTCAGGTATGACATGATTGAAAGACCCATGATGGATAAGCAAAACAGGTGTTGTTTTTAATGTTTCCATTAACATTGTAAATGAGGAAAAAACCGTTTTTGAAACCCCACAGACACTGAGTTCTAAATAGGGCCACACTACCAGTGTTGTGGCCGACAAGAAAATGATAATGCTTTCTTTGACTCCAGAGAGCTGTAAGAAGTGTCACAGCACTCCTCCTCGTATGAAAGGATCTCCACAGGACCGATTGGAGGGAAATTAATAGGCTTCCCATTGTTTGGTGCATTTTTTGCCAGGATATTTCAATAGTGTAAACACTGAACCCGTTGTCATCTTGTTTAGCCACTTGACCCTGGTGGTTTTCAGTTCTGCTTGTGCGGTGATGAAGTAGAGCGGTGGCACACGAGACAGGCACTAATTATTGGAATAGGATCGTCGCTAACCCAGTGGGAGATTAACTGCTCCTTTGCAGTCTTTATTCTGGGACACTAGCACTGTCTGGTTATCTTGCTTCAACTGAGGGATTCGGGACAATAGCAATGCTGATGGTAATGTTGGCAGTTTCCCTGTTTGTTTTGCAGGTCACGGCCAGGGGCTTTGGGCCGCTCTTGCAGTTCGCCTACACTGCCAAGCTGTTACTCAGCAGAGAAAACATCCGCGAGGTCATCCGCTGTGCTGAGTTTCTGCGCATGCATAACCTGGAGGACTCCTGCTTCAGCTTCCTGCAGACCCAGCTCCTGAACAGTGAGGATGGCCTGTTTGTGTGTCGGAAGGACACTGCGTGCCAGCGCCCGCACGAGGACCATGAGAACTCTGCAGGAGAGGAGGAGGAAGAAGAGGAGGAGACGATGGATTCAGAGACCGCCAAGATAGCTTGCCCCACAGACCAGATGCTTCCAGACCCCATCAGCTTTGAAGCCACTGCCATCCCAGTAGCAGAGAAGGAAGAAACCTTGCTACCTGAGTCTGACGTGCCCACGAACACCAAGGAAAACTCAGAAAAGGATGCGTTGACACAGTACCCCAGATACAAGAAGTACCAGCTTGCATGTACCAAGAATGTCTACAATGCATCATCCCACAGTACCTCAGGTTTTGCAAGCACATTCAGTGAAGATAACCCTGGCAACAGCCTCAAGCCAGGGATTGCCATGGGGCAGATTAAAAGTGAGCCACCCAGTGAGGAAAATGAGGAAGAGAGCATCACACTCTGCCTGTCCGGAGATGAGCCTGACATCAAGGACAGAGTGGGGGATGTCGAGATGGACCGCAAGCAGCCCAGCCCTGCCCCCACCCCCAGCACCCCAGCGGGAGCCACCTGCCCGGATAGATCCAGGAGCGTGGCCTCACCTTCCTGTCTAAGGTCTCTGTTCAGTGTAACAAAAGGGGTGGAGTTGTCTGGCCTGCCCAGTACATCTCAGCAGCACTTTGCCAGGAGTCCAGCATGCCCTTTTGACAAGGGGATCACTCAGGGTGACCTTAAAACTGACTACACCCCTTTCACAGGGAATTATGGACAGCCCCATGTGGGCCAGAAGGACACATCCAACTTCACCATGGGGTCGCCCCTCAGGGGGCCTGGGCTGGAGGCTCTCTGTAAGCAGGAGGGAGAGCTGGACCGGAAGAGTGTGATCTTCTCCTCAAGTGCTTGTGACCAAGTGGGCACTTCAGTGCATTCATATTCTGGGGTGAGCAGTTTGGACAAAGACATCTCTGAACCGGTGCCAAAAGGCCTATGGGCGGGAGCTGGCCAGTCCCTCCCCAGCTCACAGGCCTACTCCCACAGCGGGTTGATGGCTGACCACTTGCCAGGCAGGATGCGGCCCAACACCAGCTGCCCAGTGCCAATCAAAGTCTGCCCTCGCTCGCCCCCCCTGGAGACCAGGACCAGGACGTCCAGCTCCTGTTCCTCCTACTCCTATGCAGAGGATGGGAGCGGGGGTTCTCCCTGCAGCCTTCCTCTCTGTGAGTTCTCCTCCTCACCCTGTTCCCAGGGAGCCAGATTCCTTGCCACAGAGCATCAGGAACCAGGCCTGATGGGAGATGGAATATATAACCAAGTTCGACCCCAAATTAAATGTGAGCAGTCTTATGGAACCAACTCCAGCGACGAATCTGGATCTTTCTCGGAAGCAGACAGTGAGTCGTGTCCTGTGCAGGACAGGGGCCAGGAGGTAGGGAACCCACATAAGTTCAAGCATGTGACCTACCCTTTCAGTCATTTATCTGGATTTTTCTCTGTCCCCATTCCCTACTACTATTCCCATGTTGATCTTGCTTGCTAGGATTAAAGGTGACAGTAAAAGGACTGCCTCCCCCACAGTCCATGGAGGCAAAATGCTACACAGTGATTCTAAATTAGCCACTTCTGTCTTAGAAGACACTTAATAGTTGATGTAGATTTCAATGCTCAGTGACCAGAGGCAAGCAGCTTAGAGAAAAAGGTAAGTCTAATGCATGAAAGTTCACTTGGGTACTTCACAGCTTCCCCTTCTTCCTCCCTTTCTCCTCTCTCTTCCATCTGCTTTGAAAGGATGAAGGATTAATACCCACATTCTTGCTGTTCACCCATTTAATGTGAAAGAAAATGTGAACTCTCTTTCAAAATTGATTGATCGAAACTAGATGGATCAACACAAAACAGGTGCTTTCCTAGCACCTTGGTAAGTTGTCCTTGTCAACAGAAGACCCCAGGGTCTCCCTGTGTCTATTATGATGCAGGTAATGGAATGCTCACCATCCATTCTGGTCACCAGGTCCCTGCGTAAGTGCCCAATCACACACAGTAAAAATGGCTTGTTTCCTAAGCTCCCACAAAAAGAAGATGTTTTGTGGAATAGCAGTTTTTCCAGCCTGAAAGCAAAGTGCTTTAAAGATAAAAATATCCATAGGTTCCATCCATGTCTCACCATTTCTAGGAGAAGGAGCAGGCCAATACCAGCCATGTAATGAGCAAGACTCTCATAACTGTGAGTAAAGGAGAATAAGAGTCCTAGAGGTCTCCATTCTCCAGTAATGAGTGCTCAGTGCAAAGACTGGAGGAAGTCCATGTCTTGACCTGGCACTGGCTGCACTGTCTTGCTGATTAACAAACCAGCTGGAGCCTCAGAAGCAAGAGTGAGCAAGCCCAGTGATAACATCTCCTTTGTCCAAAAACCACGGGAAGAAAGGAAGTGTGGGCTTAGGATGGAACTCAGTGATAAGGCACTTGCCTAGCATGTGCAAGGCACTGGGTTTGATCCCCAGTACTGAAAAAAAAAAAAAAAAGAAAAAAGAAACATGGTTCTTTTTAGGCCAGTGTGCTCAGTACTCTTCTGTACTCCCTAGATATCAGCCTCTGTGAGGCAAGGATGGTAACCCAACCAGACAGCAGAAATGCCACATGGCAGTAAGGTGGCTTTGCAGAGTCATGTGTGGTTTATTTGGCCTCCACAAGATTGGTAAGCAAAAAGCACATGAGGGTTTAGTTCAGGCCAACTACAGAAGTGCCCAGTGGTCACTTCCTCTTCTTTGCTAGCTCCCCTGGGAGAAAGATGGGAAGACAATGAAAAGGTTTAATTTAACTAAAAGAAATTATGAACTCAGTCTGAATAGGAGCTATTCCCATTTATTTGCACCTCACCCTTTAGGTTTAGGGTGGGGAATTGTGCCCAAACCAGTCACAGCTGTGTCCCTGGTCTCCAGAAGATCAAGGTTCCATGAACATGGAGCAATGTTACATCTCTCTTTCCTCACTCATTCTTCGCTCTGACCATAACAGACCTCACCTTTGTGAGGTTTGCTTTTGTCCCTAGAACTGTTAAGAAGTCTCCCTCTTGAAGAAGCCTAGTCATTGAATCAACTTGCTCTGCATGATTTCTTAAAAGGACTGGTGTAGTGAGAAGAGGACAAGCCTTCATGTCTTTAGTGGGTTTTTTTTTTTTTGTCTCTCTTGAAAAGCCCCACCACCATTCAGCAGAAGAGGTTTTGTCATTAAGACATATGCATATGTTGGAGGAACTGTCAGTTTCAGATACATTTCCTTTTTCCACTATAATATCCCAAAAAAGAGCTTAAAGTCACTTCTTGGAACTCAGTGTCATCAATAAGAGCACATGTGTTTTTCCTGTGTTCAGACCGTGTCAATATCCACTTTAAAACTGAAAATGGTGACTCAATTAGAAGGACAATTCATTCAATCTGTAAAATTGTCATAAACAGGACAAGTCTCCCCTCAAAAAATACCCCTGCTTTTTTCATTTTTACTTTTCAAAAAAAATCTGCAGTTTACATTCATCAATAGTGAAAAAGAAACATTTGCCAAAGCTCTCTGCCATTTTGGGAATCACACTTAGCCATCTTGATAGTTCATTTTGGACAGGAAAGTGATAGTAAAGCTATCAATTTGAAATTTTAGTTTTCCAAGAGTAGAGGAGGTTAGGTTTTCCAAGAACTACTCAGGGACTTAGCACAACTGCTCCTCTGGGAATTGATAGCTTGCTTTTGTGAACTACTTTGGCCTGAAGGACATGTAGTCCTCAGGGATATGCTGAAGGCAAATCATTCCCCTACATGAACCATAACTTGTTTTCCCAAAGTGATCCAAAGAAACCAGCATCTGTTGGACTGATTCTGCCTCTCCTGTGAGGTCCAGGTACCTTCTCTTCCAAGTGAACCCCAGGTAGACACCAGAGTCAGAACCAAACATGGGGCTCCTACCCCCAACCAGTGACCCATCTAATATTTCAGAGGTTCCTTCCCAGTCTCTCCTCTTCCACCTCTGTAAGGAGTCTAAATGTGAGATCAAAAGAAAAGTGTTGATACACCTCAGAGTTTATGAAATGTTCTACCTACAGCATGTTAAATAGCTCTCCCATCTCATAAACATTGACTACTCCCATTCTTTTCAAACTCTTCTCTAACTTTGAAAAGGCTTAAATTATTACAATGTGGCTCTTTATCAATAAACAACTTCTTATAGAGTATGTTTTGGTTTTTTTGATGCTAGGAATGGAACTCAAGACCTCATGAATGCTAAGCATGTGCTCTATCAGTGAGCTGCATCCCCAGTCTTAACTGTCTTTTTTTATCAATACTAAAATATAGCATATCCAGCCCCAGACATCCCCAATAGGTTTCTCTGTGTACATGATGATACATATAAACATACATACATGTATACATATATACACTATACATAAAAATCTATACATATGTACATGCATATGCATATATTCACATCTTTTATTTTAATGGCATCAGCACTTTTGTTTTTTCACATATCTATCCACTCTGTACAATGGTCTAAATCATTCACATAGGCCCAATGCATGCTTCTCTAAAATCTATTATCCCCTAAATCACAATTTATTCAGCTATCACCCATCAACAGATATTCCAGTTGTTCCTAGTTTCATCCCCTTTATATAAATTACTACAATAAACATTGTTAATGAATACATTGTTAGTAGTGGTGCTTTTATTTGGGGATTGGAGTCCCATAGTGTGTTAAAGATTGTGCCCATTTATCATACTACCTAATTAGCTTGCCAACAGGCTTTAGCAATTCACATGTCCTTCAGCAATTAAGGAGTGTCCATTTCCCCCCATTCTTGCCATTGCTAGTGTCACCAGTCTCTTGAATTTTTGCCAGTTTGATGGGCAAAAAATGGCAACTTCCAGTGAGGTCGACATCTTGTTTCATGCGTATTCACCATTTAAATCTTCTTTTCTGTGAATTTTGCAAATTCACACCTTTGCTCAGCATCCTTTCCTGTTGGTTAACTTTCAATGGATTTATAGGAAATCTTAGTCCCTAATATTGTGACTATTAGGGATTTCTCATAGGTGTTGCCTGTGTTTTCTCCTAAAATGTTTATTTATAGTATCTTTTTCCATGTAGAAATTTTTTTAATTTTTTATAGTCACGGTATCAGTTTTTTTATGACTTCTGGATTTGCTAATTCCTTAAGAAGTCAACTTGGCGGCTTGGCAGACTGGTGGAGTGACTCAAATGATAGAGCGCCTGCCTAGCAAGTACAAAACCGAGTTCAAACCCCAGTACCAACACCAAACAAACAAAACAAGGAGTCAGCTTGGGAATTTTTCTCTTCTAATAATGAAAAAAATGAATGTTGTATTTAGTGAAAAAAATCACAAAACAGCATGCATAACAAGGCTTTAATTTGTTTAGTAAATGTATGTGTTTGTATATTTGATGAAATCAATATAGAGCATAAGATAAATTGAAAGCAAAGTTGGAGAAAGGGAGGATGGGGAAAAGTTCCATTTCTATGTATGTTTGTAACGTCTGAGATGAGTTTTGTACCACCATTGCCACTACCTAATTCCAGAACATTTCCAAACCCCAAAATGGAACACTGCCCCAGTTATCAGGCACTCATCATTGCCTACTTCCTCAACCCCAGGCAACCACTAATCTGCCTGTCTCAATAGATTTGTCTGTTTTGGACATTTCATATAAATGGAATCTTATAATATATGGCCTTTTGTATCTGTCTTTTTTTTCACTTAGCATAATACTTAAAAATTCATCCCCGCCATTGATGTATCCACTGGTATATTATGTATCAAAATGCCATTTTTTGATTGCTGAATAAGATTCCATGATGTTGATACAGTTTGTTGAGCCTCTCCACATTTTACTAATCTATCATTGGTTGAGGGACTTTGGGGTTGTTTCCACTTTCTGGCTATTTTAAATAATGCTGCTATGAGCATTTGTGAATAAGATTTTTGTAGACATGCTTTCAGTTCTCCTCATTATCTACCTAAGAGTGGAATTGCTGAATAATATGCTAACTCCATATTTAGCCTTTTGAGGAACTACAAGAGTTTTTTTCAAATGGTCTGTACTATTTTGCATTCCCTCCCGCAGTGTATAATGGATTCAATTTCTCCACATCCTTGCCAACACTTATTACTGTCTGTCTTTTGCTTTGTTTGTTTGTTTTTCCAACTATCCAGGTGACTCTTTTTAAATTAGCATACATTAATAACATTAGGGGATTTCATTGTGATAATTCTAGATAGTTGCATACAGTGTACTTTGACTAAATTTACTCCCTTCATTATATTCCCATACCTCCCCCCTTTTTCAAATTGTGTTTGGTGGGTTTGACTTTACTGTCCTCATATGTATATGTATTGTACTTTGATTTTCCTCACCCTTCAG